GGAAATACATACTTCCGAAAACATTTATTTTGAATTTAAAATAATTTCACTATTCTTTTATCTCAAAATTTCAAATTGTCTTCTCCCTATCTTTGCCTCCCTGACTTAAAACCAACACCTTGCAGTCCAGTCTCACCCTGGTTGATATTGTTTCCTACGAAGGATACTGGACTCTGGTCTTTGCTGGAGATTTTCTCAGACTGCTAGGGCCAGAGTATGAGCTGGTTTAAGTCAAAGGAGGGACGAAGAAGACCTTGGCTGGGTGCCCCAGCCATGGCTTATGCTAGTCAGGCTATGGCTTCCACGGAATGTTTAATTATTGATGTTGACAGAGAATATAAGTTCATATATTTTATAGAACAATGGTAACCACTGGTTGAGTAAAAATTGGAGAGACGTATAATTTCCAAAAGGGTAAAGAAAATCTGAGTCAACAATTAGATACCAGTGATAGAAGGAAATACTCGAAGGGAAAAAAAAAACCAACCCAGATAACATGCCATAACATGACAAAACCAAGACCAAATTTATCCTTTTCCTAATAAATGCGAATGCTTTAAATCTTTCTAACAAAAGGCAAAGACTTATTTTGGCCCCAAAACAAAATTAAATTTTACTATTTATAAGAACACATGCCTGAAACAAACTGAGACATCAAAAGGAAAGGACGCATACTTGGAAGTTGCCAAGAGAGTAGGTCTTAAATGTTCTCATCTTTAAAAAAAAAGATAATTATATGAGGCAATGGAAGTGGTAACTAACCTCATCGTGATCATTTCACAATATATACATGTATCAAATCATCACATTGCACATCTTAACCTTACACAATGTCATATATCAATTATAGCTCTATAAAGCTAGATAAGAGACCACAAAAAAAAAGACCAGCTAAAACATACGAAACACGTATAAACAAAAAGTAGGGATACACAGATTGATATGTGACAAAGTAAAATAGAAACAAAAAGCCATAAACAGGACAAAATAGGTTACCTTCTATGGCTAAAATTCCAACCCACAAGGAAGACACAACAATTATAAACATGGGCAGAATACGATAGCACTGAAAAACATTTACAGCTCAGCTCCCAAACATAAGCAAGGCACTGTAGACTACCGCTCTCCATCTTCCATAAGTGAAGGAAAAAAACATCAGGACACAGGGCATTGGAGGAATACGTCCACAAGACTTGATTTATGGGATACAAAATGGGATATGTCATCCTGTTTTAGATATTAATCAGTATGCTTCCCTCCCCCTCCACCCCTACCCAAGGCTCTCCGGCTTCCACGCAGGGAGATGTGAGTCACTCACCACAGGACCAGATGCAAAGACTGCAAATACTAGACTCAAAACCTGGCCTAAACACAAGACAGAGAAATGTTAATGCATGCTAGCATAGTGCTCGGCTCCAGGGAAGGTCAAGGGGACGTGAGAGCCAAGGACCACAAGGAAAGGAACAGGAGAACGCCCCAACCTCTGCCAGAACGTGGGCCATCTATCCAGAGTGCCAAGACAACTACAGCATCCCTCTTGTCATTGACCCATGAAGACCACCAAAGGCCCAGAGTAACATTTATGTGTGTCTCAAGGCCCTCCTATTGATTTTTTTCTCATGTAGCCAACTCGGTCCAATAGCCCAAGACATTTGCATACTCCTCCCCTAAAGAGACTGGAGAGCTGTGGGCCCTCGGGTCACAGGAGGGGCTACAGTGACATAAAGGGCAAGCCTTGAACAGGCCACTGTGGCTCTAGTTCGCATGAGTTTGAAATCTCACTCCGAGCTAGGGCCTTCTGGAACACGTGTTCCCGTTACGGATAAAGAGGAAAACTGTACTATAAAAATAGAACACACATTATGTCACCTCTCCAGTACATTTATAAAATTTAATATAACAGGCTATGAAAAAAATCTTTTGGATGTGTTATTTGACAATGGTACAAGTCTAGAATTTAACAGACAATAAAAGCGATCCAAACACCTAGAAAAGATAAAAAAAAAAAAATAGGCCTGAACATTTGGATCAAACAGGGCATTAAAACTGCAATCACAAATTTATTTAGAAAACAATCAGAAGATGGGCGCCTGGGTGGCTCAGTCGTTAAGTGTCTGCCTTCGGCTCGGGTCATGATCCCAGGGTCCTGGGTTCAAGCCCCACATCAGGCTCCCTGCTCGGCGGGAAGCCTGCTTCTCCCGCTCCCACTCCCCCTGCTTGTGTTCCTGCTCTCGCTGTCTCTCTCTGTCAAATAAATAAAATCTTAAAAAAAAAAAAAAAAGAAAACAATCAGAAGAACTATATCACATAATGAGAACAAGGTGTGAGGCCAAAGTTGTACTCAGGAAGAAAATTTATAGCCTTATATGTGCTGATTATAAAACACAAAAGAAAAAAAAACATAAACCACATATTCCACTGAAGAGATTAAGGGGCCCCCAAATAAAGGTTAGTGGGCCTTTGTGTTGATGCTGTTCTTAGATAATTTGTTTTTTTTTTTGGCTGCCTAGGATCTAAAGCTGCTTCCTGTATTAGGGAGATCCACCATGGTGTGGATCTTAGACATCTAGAGCCTGGGCATAGCATCTAGAATTAGCCAATCAGATGTTCCCCCTGGAACTCTGAATCTCACCTGAATGCCTGAAAGAAGCAGGGAAGAGCTTAGCCTTAATTCTGGTAACCACAGCCAGCATTCAGTGGCCAGCACATCCCAATGAGCTGCGCCTGGACATGCCGAGGATCTGACCACTGAGATTCCTCGTTCCTGCTGATTCCCCCACGTGCTACCCTATGCCATGAATCTCTGGGCCACCTGATACCCTTCTCCATTACATCCTGTTCCAGCTTACATTAAACAGGGCCAGTTCCTTTTGTTAATAACTTCAATCTCCTGAGCAGAACAGAAGGAAACACTATATGAGAAAGAAATCAATGATAGAAAAAAAATCTATGGCAATGATAAGTAAACTCAAGAACCATTTTAAAAGACCAGTGAAACTGGCAAACCTTTTCATGTGTCTAATCACTGAAAAACGAAGGTCACAAATACTTTTACAAAGGAAAAAATGTACACAAAAGATTCTGAAGTTTAAAAATAACGAGAAATGATGTATAACTGTATACCTGATTAAATTAATTACCAACATTAACTGGGGTGGGAAACTTGAATATACCATCAACCACAGAAGAAATGTCAAAAAAATGTTTAAAAAATTCACTCTCGGGGCGCCTGGGTGGCTCAGTCGTTAAGCGTCTGCCTTCGGCTCGGGTCATGGTCCCAGGGTCCTGGGATCGAGCCCCGCATCGGGCTCCCTGCTCCGCAGGAAGCCTGCTTCTCCCTCTCCCACTCCCCCTGCTTGTATTCCCTCTCTCACTGTGTCTCTCTCTGTCAAATAAATAAAATCTTTAAAAAATAAATAAATAAATAATAAAAAATTCACTCTCTTCCCAAAGGGCACAGAGCTGGATTGGTTTAGGGGCAAGTTCCTTCAGACTTGTGCTATTTAAGCCGTCTGGGACGTGGAGAAAGAAGGCAGATGAGCATGTACTGGACTAGCCCAGGACAAAGGGGACCCCAACTTTAGTCCCCGCACCCAGCTGCCCTCAGTGTGCGGTTCCCCTGGGGTGGAGCCTGCTGTTGAGTGGGATTCAGCTGTTGTGTGGACAGGCCACCCTTCCATGCTATTCTGACCCAGCTATCCCCATCCTCACACCTTCCAATTACTTATGTGGCTGGTGTCAGCCACCTGAAGGCCAGTCAGGCCCATGCTAATTAATCCATGGGATGGCCACCTCTATTCCCTCCCCTCAGTTCACCTTCTGCCCTACCAGAGAAAGAACGCTTCTGCTCACTCCTGTCCACACCCTCTAAGGGATAGTGAGGACACACGTACAGGGAGGTGCAGTTACCCACGAATCCTCACTGGGATGAAGTCAGGGACAAGGGAGTCCAGAGCTAATGGCAAAGGATTTTTTTCCTGGAGAAACGCAGGACGCCAAGCGTGGATGCCCGGAAACAGCAAGCGTACGAAAAGCAGAAGCGTCCTGGGCAAACCATGGCTCTTGGTCATCCCAGATGGGACTTGTTGAGGGCTCAGAAAAGGGGAGCTTCTCTCTCTTAGAGGGAGCTTGGAGGAAGATGTTTGTTTCTTTCAGCGTTTAGCGTGGCTAAGAGTGGGTTGCAGGTCTGCGGAGCCCTGGGGACCTTTGGAGGCAGGGTTCTGCGCAGATGCTGACCTGGTGGGCGCAGCTCTGGCACAAGGGGGCACCGGGTGCTCAGGCCCCGTGCTGGGCCTCAGCTGTGCGAAATGACGCTCGATAACCTAGCCAACTGGTAGGCATTACCAAGGGGGCGGGGTCCCGCGCGTGGTGCGTCCCCCGGGCAAGGAGCGCGCAGTCCACAGCTCCTTGGAGACCCTTGCTCTTCATGCAGTTGACAGTGGGCTTCGCGAGCACCATATTTATCAGCAAATTACCCAATAACTGCTGGCCCCTCTAGAAGGCCACAGTCATGTGGGCAGACTGCACCCAGAGCACCGCGCGGGGTAAAGAAGAAACAGCCTCGCTGCCCTCCCACCGCAGGTCCCCCCTCCGGTCGCATTCGGTCCCCCCTGGCGGACTTGGGAGCGTCCCTGCCTCAAAACGGACACCTACCCAAACTGCGCCTGAGGGAGGCGATGTTGCCCGCGAGCAAAAGCAGGTTTCGCACCACGTCCCCGAAGCCCGAGAGGCGCACCCTCCCTCCCCAGCCGTGGCCCTGCTGCGCCCCTGGCCCGCAGGAAACCGTGCGTGGGCCTGCCCGCGGGACCCGGGGCCCCCCGCGCCCAGCCCTCCCAGGCCCCGCTTCCCGGCCGCTCGGCCCCAGGTCTCCACGCAACAATGAGGCGTGGGCGGCCCCGGCGGCCTCATTTGCATACCGCCGCGGCTCGGCCAATGGGCTGCGCGGGGGCTTTGGAACGCCGTGTTGCCATCTGCGTGCGCGCGTGTGTGCGAGTGTGACAGCGGCCGTGGCCCTGGCCGTGGGAGGCGGGCCCGGCGGAGCCCAGCCGCGCGGGGACCGGCCCCAGCGCCCGCTTCCCCTGCGCGTCGCGGCCGCGCGGCCCGGCGAGGCCCGGAGACCACCCCCGCGCCCCGGCCGGGCGCAGTCGCGATGTCGGTGGCGGGGCTGAAGAAGCAGTTCCACAAAGCCAGCCAGGTAGGGAGGCACGGGGGAGGTCGGGATGCTGGGGGGGCCACCGGGGGCCGCGGTCCCCCGAGGTTTAAGGCCTCTGGCGCCCCGAGGGGCCTCTCTTGGGCCGCGGAGGTGCAGTGAGGGCCGCCTGCTCCTCCTCCGCCGCCGCCCCCCGCCGCCCCCGGCAGGCGCTCTGCCCTGAGCACTGGCAGTCGGAGGGCTTCCGTGGGCCGGCGGCAGAGGCGGCGGGCCGCAGGGGCGCGCGCGCGGGAGAGGGGCGTGCGGAGGCCTGCGCGCTGCGCTGGGCGCCGCCCCCCTGCCCGCGCTGGGCCGGGGACCCCGGGGCAGCCGGGCGCCTACCTGGAGGCTGGGGGCCTTCGGGGGCGCGTGCTGGAGCCTCGCGGCGGGTCCGGGGGTCCTGGGCCCCGCGCGCGCCTGGAGGCGGACCGCGCCGGACCGCGCCGCGACCTCGGGCCGGGCTCCCCATGGCGGTGCCTCGCCTGCGTGCGGCCCCGGCGGCGCCGGCCCGGCTCCTGCTCCCGGAGAGCCCTGTCTGGCGCGGAGACGCGGGCAGACGCGTAAACAGTGTTAGACGCACCTTCACGCGCAGAGCGCGGCAGACAGCCCGGTGGGGGCGTCCGGGAAAGCCTCCCGGAGGGGACGCGTCGTTTGGGAATTAAGTCGGAGCCGGAATTGGGGTGGGGGGTGGGGGGAGGGAAGGGGGAAGGGCGTTCTGAGCGGAGGAAAACAGGCAGGGAGGCAGGCAGTTTCTCTGTGTTCGTGAGTGTGTGTGTTGACGACAAGCAAATTTGTATTCCAAGATTGTAGTCTCTTCTGGCCATGGCAGAGCTCACATGGTAGAACCTATCCCAAACCTGCAGCCCTGGTTTTGTTGCTCTGTCTCTCCCTACCCCCCCCCGCCCCCCAATTTGGCTAGCACCAAGTTGGACAGATTTCATTGAGAATCCACGTTTATGAGATCTTAAGACTGCTTCTGCCACAAATTGGAAAGCAGCTGAAATTAGAGGATCCTTTTCTAGCCTCAGTCTCAGGCTGAGGACACTGGCGTCCCATCACTCACACCCCTTCCATGAAGAAACTGGGTGATGCCCAGATTCTGGCTGGGGACACTGGATGGACAGTGGTGCTCTGCAGGGTGAGAAGGAGTCCTGGAGGAGGGGCCAGCTGGGTGCACTCATTGCTGGCCCTGGGCCCTTTGAAGGGTCTGGGGCCATTCAGATGTCCCTGGCTTCGGGGCAGGTGCATGCCCTGATCTGGGTCTCAGGGGGTAAGGCCAAGACTGGAGCTACAGACTTTTGGGGATTTAAGCCCTAAATGGACATTAAAAAATGTAAGCACTTAAATACAGACTCTCGGGAGCAGCCACATTTAGGGACAATGTTTAGCCCAGTCCTTGATAAACAGGGGCCACTCAATAAATATTTATTGAATAAAGGAAACTTTTGGGGGTGGAGGAGCACAGGAAGGAAAGAACTGGTAGAATGCAGGAGAGAGAAGAGAGAGTGTCATGGAAACGGGGTGGGGACCTTTAAAGGCAGGAGCCTCGGGCAAGTGCTGCTGTGAGCTCAGAACTAGAGCGCTCCTCTCCTCGCTTGGGCAGCCAGGGGTTCGGAGTAATCTCTGGCTGTGCTTGTCACACTGGCCAGGAACCGACCTTTTTTGAAGATTTTCATTTATTTGGTATGAACTTCCTAGGAGCATGTCTCAGAGACGACAGACATAAGCTCAAGGGTGATTCAAGTTGGCTTCTGAGCACAAGTCAGCGTGAATGGTTGAGGTCTTAGGAGGTTATTGGCGTTGGAGAAGGGTCATGCTAGTGATGAGGTTGTTGAGATTAACCACCTGTAATCAGTCCCTTGAAAACAAAACAAGAGTGGGTCTCATTTAGACCTTCGTTGCATCAGCTGAGGTCTTTTGTGCATTTATTGAAAAAGAAAGGAATCATAGATTTTCTCTGCGCTTTACAAACCACATTTTGTGGTCAAAGTGCCCTAGATAAGTTTTTATCTGTTCTAGAAGTCTCTCTAAGAAATCTTGCAATGGGGCAGATTTGGTGGAGAAATTAGACTGGGTTTAATATAAGAGGGAGCATGAGAGTAAAAAAAGGTCAGATGTTCTTCTCAGACAACGTTTTAACAGCAGGTTTTAATTCACATAGAACCTTTCCAGGGCAGGGGAAAGGGAGTCCCAGATGATGTCAGGGGCTTGACAATTCCCAGGGACCCAGACCTGGCTGTGCCACTGACCAGCTCTGTGACCTTGGGAACATGACTTAACCCATCTAAACCTTAGTTTTGTCTGTACCTTGGATTAGAGGATTTGAAAGCTATGTCTCTGTTCTAAAACTGATTGTAGTGATGCTTGCACAACTCTGTGACTATTCTAAAAACCATGGAATTCACCTTTATGGGTGAATTGTATGGTCTGTGGATTATATCTCAATATATAATTCCCAGTTCTGAAATTCATAATTCACTTAAAGTATTTCAGAGAGAGATGATAAGGTAGGAAGGATCTTTTACAAATAAGGGAACTAGGACCATGGTGACTGAAGATGATTTTTTTCAACAATAGACAAGGTAAAATAACTTATAACCTCCTGATAACTGGTTCTTCTTTCTTGGTACCTCACTTATCTCTGAGGGAGAAAAAAAATCCCCTTATTTTATAGAAGATGAAAAACTGTAAACCCCAGGGATCATTCCTCATTTTGGCAGCTGGTGGAGACCAATAGGGAAGAGGGAGAAGTAAAGTAAGGAAAGAGAGCACAAGTGGAGTTGATCACGAAATTTAGTTAATTCTCTTCTTCAGCATTTGGGACTTAGAACCTAAGTGTCCCTAGTTCATAATTGCTTTTTTTCTCTTGAAAGGATTTTTAAATGTACCCTCCTACTGGTAGGGATATAGCTTGAATTATTAAATATAAATACAAAGAGCTTAAAGATGGCCTTGTGGTTTCTTACCAGACATGGTGCCCGATTAATAAAAATGCAGCTTAGAGTAATTTCATTAGGGTTACCACTCATTGATTTGTATTATGCTTAATAAGGCATAATTCATGGTGGTTTTTTGACATGGTGGTTATTATTGGAACAGGACGCTCAGGCCACACCGGTACTTCCTCTGACCCGAACGCTGTACGAATAGCCATATTCTTTCTCTTTGGACTTCCAGAAGACGTGTTCCCCATCCCAGGGAAGTCTAGGGAGCAGTTTATTTTTCTTCTTTTTCTTCTTCTGTCTCCAAATTAACCATATAGTGATGACCCTAGATGGTGGTGACACTTGTAGGTTTCATGTTAAAACAGGTTTTTTTGGGGGGGCGGGTAACTCCCCTACCCCTTTCTCTTCTAATGCATTAACCAGAAAAAATGATGAGCGGTCATAGGGGCCTAGACATTTTTCGTGTGATAACCAGCTGCCCATACTGGCCATTTATGGATAAACACTTCAGAGAAGGATAGTCTTTGTAAATTATGAGAATCTCTAGGGAGGCAATGAATGTCTCTTGTTTCACTGTCTCGTTAGAGAGATAAAAACGCACTTTGCGAAATCCATGGTGATTTATTTTTTTTCTCTGAGATGCATCAGAAAATACATGACGCTAAAACATTCTTGTTCCTTTCCACATAGATGGCTTGATAAATTCATCTATAAGTCTTTGCTTTTTTTTTTTTTTTTTTTAATTTTAAGTCAGGACGCTAGAATAGATGTCCAAGCCAAATTGATTTTGATTTTTACACAATATAATCCAAACATTTCTTACCCCTGGTGACTTTTTTTCTCTAAAGTAGATGTAATTTGGCATATCATTCGCTTGGAGTTTGATTTTAAAAAGGTATTTAAAAGCAGGGATATTGTTTTTTGGCTATTTTTTTCAGATTAATTTTTCAGCTTTATTAACAATTGAATGTAAATTATGTTACCTAAAGTTAAGTGTGTGTGGAATCATGTGTATTTGGGGGAGCTGTTATTGGCATTGCTTTACCCAGGTAACAAAACGGTCGGTAACTGAAACGCTGCTACTGTATTTGGCTAAATAATAGGAGAATGTGCTTTGGAGGTTCTACACCAGCAAAATGTGGATGGTTGGATTTTGCATTTCAATAGAAACCTGGGAAAGTGTTGAGTGGGGGCAAGGGTCTGGGGGAAGGCTAGGGACGGGATCAGGGAGGTACTCTTGCCATTCTAACTGTTGAGTTCCGTGAAATGCCTTCCCAGGGAGCTCTTGCCTTACAATTCCCTGGGTCACGTCCATGTGTTGTCACCACAGCACCCCAGCAGTGACCTTCCTGAGCCCAGTGTCGCTCCTTCCGGCTTTCTTCCTCATCCACTGGATGGATGGTGGTGCCTTTCCCCCCTGGCACTGGACCGATGCCGCCTCGAGCTTTCTTTGCCTGCTCGGAGCATCCGTCAGGGGCAGAAGCTGCTGGGGTTCCAGGCCTGATGACTTGGGTGCCTCCTCCTGAGCCTGATGGCGGAGCTGTACCTCTTCATCCCCCGTCTTCCTGTGGGCCACAGTTGAAGGCCTGGAGGGGTCTGCCGGCTGATGCGGGGGCGCCCCTCTGTTTGTCCTAGAGTAACAAGGACACACAAGCACCTGGCCGCCTCCCCGCTGGGCTCCACCCCCCACCCCCCCACCCCTCTCCTTCTCAGGGATGTTGCACTATATGGCCATACTGTCTCTTATCATCTATCTTGAAAAAAGATAGGGAAAAGGCCTTGCTTGGTCTGAGATCCTGCTTCACCCCATCCTATTTTCTCTCTCCCCTTCCCAGCAAAATGTACTGAGAAGAGTATCTGTTGCCCCATCTCTACTTTCTCATCTCCTGTTCTCAGCCAGTTCCTGCTGGCTGTCCGCTGTGGGCTCTGAGGTCCAGGTCTCGCGTCACCCCTCCCCCCAAGTTGCCACATCTTGGGATCACTTCCCCACCTGACTCTCAGCAGCCTGTGACTCTGAGGACCGTACTCCGCTCACGGATCATACACTGGCTCGGTTTTCCT